ACTTTACAAATATATTAAAGATGTATGAAAATAATAATATAACAAATACTCATGTTTAGGAAATGAAACATTACCTACACTATGAGAAGTATGTAAGAATTTTGACCAGATGTCTGCAGCTTATAACATCATAACATCAATATTTCTTATGCTTACTATCTTTAATCAGTTATCCATTATATGTACAGAGTAACTGTACATGTCTAATTACAAAAGTTAATTACAACCACCATGGGAGCTTGCGGTGTTTGTGTGAGTCCTAGGTATGCATGCTCATCTGACTGTCACTAACTGCTTTGCATACTCTAAGAGCTCCTCAAATAGTATTATTTTCTTGAAAATATTTAAGTAATCATTGTATTTATTAATATTTTAAAAACAGAACATGCATTTGAACCTTTACCACCCTGCACAGTGTAATCTGCCTGGGACACCTTTGAGTCACAGTGATTTTGTGAAGAGGCTGTTGAGGAAGCCTGACCCGGCTCTGACAGATGACAACTTAGAGACAGGTGGAAGAAAAGGGGGTGGGGCTCCTGAAAACACAGGACAGGTATAAGGATGCATAAAGGGGGTCACACTAACAAGCTCTTCTGTTGACCCAATGTCCACCCAGGAGAGCAACTGAGACCTCAGGCCCCACATTACAGAGCCCCTCCAGGTTCTGGAGAACACTTCAGAGTCCAGAGTCAAGACCCAAACATGTCCATATGTACCAAAGCAGGCTGGTCTACAACATGCAGTGCTTCAATAAATGAGGATTATGTGTACCCAGCTGCCTATGAAGCATATCTACCTAGGCTCCAAATCTCTTTGGCACTGTCCTGCCACAAAGCCAAAATTTCTACCTCAAAGACCAAAGGGCCACAGAGTTAAGAAACCATGGGGAAAAAATTGTTCTCAAAACAGAGAGTAGTTATTTCTCCTGGGAAAATCCGTTTGTTTTTAGCTGAGGCTATGTTAGTCATGAAGCTGTGATTACAATTGCCTTTTCAAACTGCTCATCAGAAAGCACAGAAAAAAATTTGGTCCCGTTGTATCGACCAGGAAGGATTTCACTGAACTCATTTTGCATACTAATCTCCCTCCTCCTTCCATCTTTTCTATGTTGTATTCCCTGTGCCTCATTTTACCCCCACCTATTTTTTATTTGATGCTTTGTATATCACGTCTTATTCTTAAAGACTTTCTGGAATAAGGTAGGGTACAAACGGTTGCCAGTTTATAAAGATGAAAAAAGCTTAGAGATAATCCATCTTTATAATTTACCAAAGAGAAATCTAAGACTCCAATGACTACTGGGTTAAACATGGGCTAGAATCAGGGATCCCAAATGTAGCTGATTGATTTTTTTCTCAGTATCTGAATTCCTCCTATGACAATAGATTCTCTTATTTCTCCTTTTCATAAGATAACATTGGCCAAGAGATGTTGATAGACATTTCTCCCCACCTGAGAGAATTAAAAATTTAGGAAATTCTGCATTCTACATCTTGCTTTGGAGAGTCACAGGAAAATTCTGAGAAATCCTGCAATAAGTAAATCAATTTAATTTTGTTTAATGCATGTCTCCCAAACATATCTGAATAAAACCTTTAAATAAAATAAATAAAACCTTTTTCCTTTTCTCTTTCTGAGGCACAGTGGAGAGCTGTACCCATTAATATCCCTCAGAGCACACTCTGGGAAGTGTTGGGTTAAGACAAGACCTCCAGAAGCAACTGTCAAAATCCCCATGGCAGGTGGAAGAGAGGAAAAGTCAGACATGCATCCCACCGACCCATCAACCTGCATACTGGCTGCTTTCAATGCTGGCAAGTCGTGCCGCACTGCTATACTCAGGGCCGGTGTGTTGAAAGCTACAGGACCCACCCAACGAGACAGGTGTTAAGAAAGGGGAGGAGCAATCCCTCTCAGCCTTTCTCCCATTGCTGTGGGGTGACCCATGCAGGCCTGCTGTAGGAGCACAATTCTCGCTGATAGCCCTGGAACGAGGCACCTGTAATTCTCCTCACCACACAGCATTAACCTGCACCCACTTTGAATTCTAGAAGGACAGGAATTACAAATTCTTATTCCACTGAAGTAGATATCAAACCACAGATGTACAGTTCCTAAAATGGTAACAGGCATGGTGTGTGTACGTCTGTGGTGTCAGCATGTGCGTTTGTAGACCCCAAAGGGATGTGACACTTAAGCAAGCTCTGGTATGGTCCAGGAGGCACCTGTAGCTGGTGCATGGAGCCCTAATGCCAGACAAGGCAGCAGGTGGCTGATGCCAATGCTGCCTCTACTCGCACCTGGCACCTTATGTACCCTCTCTGAGCTTTGCTTTTCCCTTCAGTAAAATGGGAATACTAATAATGGGAGAAGGGTAGACAGGCAGATTACATTTTATTGTAAAGTGCTTAGACCAGTGCTTAACTCACAGTAGCTACAATATAAGTGACTCACAGTAGGTACAAGATAAATGTTAAATAAAATAATGTTATTGAAGGTTTATCCCGATTTCCCTTGATTGACATACATTTCCTTTCATAATAGATAATGACATGTAACATTAGTGGAAACAGGACCCTTGCCTCCTCATTTTAAGACAGGCTTGCCTGTTACAAATATACATATGAGGCCAGTGCACACGTGACCTTAACTGCCTGTGTGCTCTTGCTGCTTTCTGGTGAGCTGTGGTCACATGTTATGGACAGCTGGGTTGTTGCTATAGCATGCTGAGTACAGTGGTTATTGGGGATTCCAGCAGAACAGGAACAAGTAGGCAGGACGGGAGGCCCGGCTGCTAGCAACAGATGGGCCACCAATCACCCTGCACTTGGTGGCATCTTCCAAGGAGGCAGTGCCTCTGAGGAGCCCCTGGTGGGGCAGGAGAAGCTGGCCCTGCTTCTGCCTTCCTCTTTCAGCAACCCTCAACTCAGTTGTGGAAAACAATCAAATAAAAACTATTTTAAAAGCAGACCAAAAAAATGTACCAAATAGATGTGATAAAGGGAAGGAGTTTGGTAAAGCCTTGGTTAATTTTTCTTGGTTTCTTTGTTATATACTTGAAAATATTGTCATACGAACATATTTCTATATATTTTTAAAAAGATACACAATACGTCTTTAAAAAACTGTCAAACAAATACATTTTAAAAGATTGAGTAATGTAAGTACAACAAAGCAGATAATATACATGAGTTGAATATTATCTACACAAGTGGTAGAGTAAAAGATCTGCTTCTGTTGTATAAGACGAATCCTTACATACATTATATAGAAAGCTGAGAAGAGTTTGCAATAATCTAATGACCTACTGTATACAGACACTATCATCACAACTGTAATTTTTGAAATCTCATTATTATATAGTTCTGGTGAAAATATCCAGAGAGTTGTTCTCGTAAATACAAGCCAAGATTGGGGAGTAATGAGAAATCTCTCTCTGAGCCTAAGGACGAGGGGCCCTTAAACTTGGAGTTGGCAACAGCCCCTGCACACCTGCTGTGGGGCTGCTCTGGAGGTGGGCTCTCCTGATCCCTAGCTCACATGCTCTGTCTGTGAACACAGCAGCCTACAGCCCAGCAACATCGTTTCTGCTCTGGTAAGAAACACACATGTGCACACAACACACACACACACACACACACTCAAAGTCCCCAGACACCTGGGCTATCAGAGACCACCACATTGTGCAGTCCCTGTGCTCAAGGAAAGGTGGGAAGATACAGCCTTAAGAAGCAGAAACACCTGTCTTCAGTCACCATCGTTTCTGCTCTGGTAAGAAACACACATGTGCACACAACACACACACACACACACACACACACACACACACACACACACACACACTCAAAGTCCCCAGACACCTGGGCTATCAGAGACCATCACATTGTGCAGTCCCTGTGCTCAAGGAAAGGTGGGAAGATACAGCCTTAAAAAGCAGAAACACCTGTCTTCAGTCATGGTTTACATTTCCACCAGTTCAGTTTCCAATTTAGATTTGCACACTGCTTTGAACTTTTGCTTTTACAGCTGTTGCCTTTAAAGTTCTGAGCATTTTGGGCCTGGCACCCTCCCACACTCTCCCTAGCAGTGCACCTCTTATCTCAATGCACATCTTTAAATGTGTCTTTTTTCTCTTATTTTAGGCAGCACACACTTGCTTCTGTGAATCTGCAGATGACGCTCACAGGTTAATTTTTATTTACACTGACCTGAATGCTAACGTACAGAGAGCAATCATCTCCCTAGCAGTGCACCTCTTATCTCAATGCACATCTTTAAATGTGTCTTTTTTCTCTTATCTTAGGCAGCACACACTTGCTTCTGTGAATCTGCAGATGACGCTCACAGGTTAATTTTTATTTACACTGACGTGAATGCTAACGTACAGAGAGCAATCGGCATATGTCCCCACGAGAGGCATTAAGGACATGATTTTTCCAAAACAAGAACCACATGAAGCATTTTTCACATACCAATGAAAGGCTTCTTTAGTAGGCAGGCATTTTCATAGAAGAACACAGATTTCCTTAAAATCTTCCATATTTGTAAGTCTTAGTTGGTATAAAATATTAAAATTCAGGTTTTTTCCCCTTGTGACAGGAATATAGCATATATTTTATTTTAACCTCTAAAGGAAGTTACTCAATTCTTCCCTCAAAAAGGAAGAAATGCTATTTTTATAATCCAACCACACTGGCTTTTGTTTTTATGAATATCTGTAACTGAGGAAAAAAGTCCAGCTTCCCTTTGCTCCTTTTTCCCACACATTCTTAGCACAGCTCAACGAGCTCCCAGATTCTGATGGCATTCTCCTGGTAACACATTTAGAAGAGGCTGCAGGATACCCCAACAGCCCTGCTTTCTTCTCTCCCTCTCCCTTTCTCTTTCCTATCACTCTAATTGTTCAGAATTAGACTAAACAATTAAACCTTTGTGCTGCACCACTGCAATTTGAAAATTCTAATACTGTGTCCCCTGATTGGCACAAGGGTAATGTTTACCTTGGAGAAATGTTTGTCCAAAAAAGTATTCCAAGTGTATTTCCCTTTGAAATGGTGAGACTGTGGTGAGAGTTCTCTCTTCTTTCTTGGCCTATCACCAAAGAGAAAAAAAGGCAGATGGACATAGATTGTGAAAGATACTTGCCCAGTTCAGTGTAAAAATGTTAGTGCATTTATGCCAAGCATCAAGCTTTATATTACTTCCTGAACAAAGCAAACTGCCAAGTAGAGGCAAAACTACACATAGTAGCGAAAAAAAAAAAAAAATTATCTAAAATAACAGCCAAGACAGTGTATAATCAAATACAAATCAATCTACTTCCTCTTTCCATATTTGTCCTAGTTTATGCCAAATAAATCTGTGTTATTGTAGCAATGTTAAATATTCAAATAATGTTATCTGAATTTGAGATAAAACAAGTGATTTATTTGAAAAGAGCATTTATGCTTTTTGGTAAGGCAAGCTGTGACTCAATTCTGGAAATTTCTTATTGTTTTAATTAATTTATTATTATTATTTTTTATTTTCTAAGGTGTTGCAGAGCAGCAGGAGGGGACGGGGGAAGGGGGTACGGAGGCAGAGGTGGGGGTGGAGGTAAGGGTGGCCCATGGTTGGCTCCTTCACTGGCCTGGTTGCGGACATTGGGGGGTGTGACTGAGGCCCTCAGTGCCCCCCACCACCCCGGCTCTGGAGCTCAGGTGGCTTCTGGCGGCAGCATGGTTGTTCAGGAAATTTCTTATTAGGAAAAGACTTTAATGCAGCATGCACACTGTGACCTGAACGACATGTAGAGGTAATCGCAAGTTGTTCCTTCATGTGTTCTGTTGTGGAAATGGGAAGACTTGCAGAGTGGAGGAGGCTACAGGGATGAATGACCTCTCTCATCATCTCTCCCCTGATTCATCAGCTCCCCATTCGTATCTACGATTCTGCTCTATTTCTGATGTCCAGCCCTTCCTCCCTCCCACATTCCTCCCTAGTTCTCTTCCCATCCTCTGATAAGTATCTCCTGTACTGAACATTTACAGTACCACAACAGGTGCAGTGTGCAATGGAGGAGGGAAGAGGGATGGGATGGATGGATGGATGAATGAATGAATGAACAAATATGTTTACACTCTAAGGAGAATATCCTGGCTGTTGAATAAGATTCAGAATCTCTCAATTATTTTAACATTCCTGATTTTCAATAAAACAAAAAAACTGAGTAGAACATGAGCCTTCTAGACTTGCATCTTTTGTAAAGACCACATATTATCATCTTAGGCTGAGTGTTGCCTTCTTCCATAGCAGAGTCAGCAGATTATTTATATTATCTTCAGGTATATCTACTATTTCCCTGACAGTTATCAAGTGAGAAATGGCTGCCTTTTGTTTGCCGCTGCATTCAGCTACATTATTATTTTCTTTTGTTTTCTTAATAAGTCTAAAAAGGTTAGAATAAGACACATAATCATGGGCTGTCTTCCTCCAACCTGACTCCAGGACTTTCCACTGTCAATCACACAAACTAAGAAGATAGGGCTTCACCGGGTGAAGAGCCTGACAGACAAGTGAGTTCCTAAATCATCGTTTTTCTCTTTCATTAGATCTCAAATCAAACCTCGTTCTGAAGCCCTGCCATACAGATGTATTTAGATGTGAATGCCAACTGTAAACCTCTCCACTTCTTCATGTCATGATGGTCAATCCCAAAGAACTCTACTGAATTAGTTAGAAATACAAGCAAGATTTGGTTATCTAAATCAAATTGCAGCCATAAAAAAATACAATGAAAAGAATAAACATTTTTTTCTTAAAATACCAAATCCTATTACTGTGTGCTAGAAATAATACCTTTGCATATGCTTTCTTTATTACTAGATATGAGTAAAGAGCCTGATTTGAAAATTGAACACATGACTTGACAGCTAATTTAATAACATAAAAGTGGTGGTACATAATTTTGCATTTTCAGAACATATGTTTTATGAATTTAAAATATTCCTAGGAAATAAGGTAATTAAGACAGAAGGGTACTGCCATAAGGACAGACATATAGATCAATGGAATAAACTTCAGCACCCAGAAATAACCCCCTATATTTATATTCCTTCAATTATATGGCCAATTGATTTTTTGACAAGGATACCAAGACTATTCAATGGAGAAAGAATACTCTTTTCCAACAAATGGTTCCAGGACAACTAAATAGTGAATGAAGATGGATCCTTAACTCAGACCATTAAAAAGTTAACTCAAAATGGATCAAATACCCAAATGTAAGAGATAAAAGTATAAAATCTTAGAAGAAAACATGGGGATAAATCTTTAGGAACTCAGATTTGGCAGTGACATTTTAGATATAACACCAAAAGCACACCACAGCAAAAAAAAAATAGATAAATAGGACTTCATCAAATAAAAGTTCTTGTGCTTTAAAGGAAACCATCAAGAGACTGAAAAGACAACCCAAAGAATGGGAGAAAATATGTGTAAATCATAGCTGATATTGCACTTGTATTTAGAATATATGAAGAACTCTTTTTTTTTCCGGATGATATAAGATGATTTTATTTATTTATTTTTCTTCATTTCTTATTTTATTTTAATTTGTCAATATACAGTATAGTTGATTTTCATGACACTTTATCAATTCCTCCTTTTCCTCCCTTTCCCCGCCCCCCATCAATATCATATCTGTTCACATGTCTTAACAAAATCAAGGAATTGTTGTGATTGTTGTGTCCTCTAGGATATATAAAGAACTTTTATAACTCAGTAACCAAAAGACAAATAACCAAACCTAAAGTGGGCAAAAGGATTCCGTGCCCCTCCCCCCACCACAGGGACTATGGTAGCTTTTCCAGAGGTACACAGCACATTGCAAGAAAACACAGCCTCCCTTTGAAATGACTGATATGATAAAGAACAAGCTTGGAGCAAGTGCACAGGCAAACACTAAAATTTGCAGGGATTAGAAATTGCCCTGAAGGAAGAGGTGGACAACTCTGACTGTTGTTGTGGGAGAAGAGCAATGTGGAACACACAACCGGGACAGTGTCTACCATATAGTAATAAATTTATATTTATTCACTGATTGAGTAAATTAATTTTATACAGAGACAGAGAGTAGATTAGGGATTGCTTAGGGCTGGGGGATGATAGCTAAGGGGTGACAAAAATGTTCTAAAATTGAAGGTTGCATAATTGTGAATATCCTAAAAACCATTAAATTGTACACTTTAAATACATGAATTGTATGGTATGTGAATTGTATCTCAATAAAGTTATCAAAAAAATATTCCAAGGGATGTGGACATTAAAACATTAATCATTTTCCAGATCAATCTTAAAAAAATATGGCAAATTCAGGTGTAATTTTAAGTGGAGTTATTGCACCGAAGCGAACTGCCTAGCTCCACTGCACACTACCATGCTCTGACTGAGACAACTTGAATATAATTCTCAAATTCAGGTGTAATTTTAAGTGGAGTTATTGCACCGAAGCGAACTGCCTAGCTCCACTGCCCACTACCATGCTCTGACTGAGACAACTTGAATATAATTCTTTTTTTTTTTTTTTTCTTTTTT